TGAGTTCAAACAGTCGCTCATGATCGCGGTTATAGAAAGGCAGACGGCCGCACATCATCTCATACATGACAACGCCCAGACCCCACCAGTCCACTGCACGCCCATAGTCATTGTCCTCCAGAACCTGAGCACACACAATTAAATGTTGTATTTTGTTTGTTGTTTATTCTGAACATTGAAAAAAACTGTAGCAAGACATAACAAGAAAACATAAGAAAACCGTCAGGTAGTGAAAATTCATATTTTAAGTCAAATACAAGGAATTGTATACATGTATGAAAAGGAGTGGGGTTAGGGTTTTTCATACATAAATAAAAGGTCAAATTGAGTTTTTTGCTTCATTCTAACCTTCAGACCCTGCTGCAAGTGAAGATGTAATTAGCTTCAACCTCACAAATATTTTTAGAGATATGAAAAAAAAAAAAAAAAAAAGAAAAGACTTGGACAATGCCAGCAATATACTACATACTTTTGATGGTGCAGGATCCTCAAATGGGACATATAATAAATAATATATAGTACATTTATTTAGCTTTTTATCACTTTATAACAGTGTTCCCCCATAATTACCATGCTCAAAGTTGTATTTCAATTGATTCATGCATGTTTGAGTATTTCTGTGTTGTCTTGCATTTGAGGCTTAAGTGCTCAGAAAATTTCAGTTTTATTTCAATTTTATTTCAGTTTTCTGGTCTATGTTATAAGTTTGCTTTCTCCTCAGAAACATAACCAAAGTTGTGTTTTGTTTCATACACAAACCCTGCATATTTAGGCTGAGTTCTTCTCCCAAATGGAAAACACTCTGTTCCACCTTGTGATGTGGTAATACAAGAAGTGCTCCACTCCATACACCTTCACTAAAATCATTTGGATAATTTCAGCTCTGAAACTGCCAATCTATTAAAAAAAAAGTTAAAATGTAGCTGTTAACTTAAAAACTACCTCTTCATGACATCTCAAAATGGAACACTATTCTGAGCTTTGGAGATGTAGACAGACTAATAATAAAGCATTACTCAACCGTATGTGAATGAAACAAAACACAACTCCAGGTATGTTTCTAATGACAACATAACAACAAGATCACAAGAGTCAATTTTGTGTAATAAAGGACCTTTAATGAACATGTATATGACTTTTGACTTACCTCAGGAGCGAGATACTCAGGCGTTCCACAGAAGGTCTTCATGGTGGCGTCAGACGTGATTCCTTCTTTACAAAGGCCAAAGTCTGTGATTTTAATGTGTCCATCTTTGTCCAGCATAAGGTTCTCCAGCTGCAGGGTCAAAAACAACTCCATGTCATTTTCAGATTAAATAATTGCCACTAGATGAGTTATCCACAGTCGCCATTTATTACGGCTGTAATCCTGTGTAGTCCTTGTCAATTAATCTGTCAACGATCTCTTGGACAACTAAAATTTTTGATAGTGGACGCATCAGTTTATTTAGATCAGAAGGATTTATATGGGTCAAATAACTATAAATAGTTGTTTTCTTGTGAGTGCAGTTTGCGTCAGATACGCGGCGAGATCAAAGAGATATTAAATAGTTTTGAGAGTTTTTGCCACACCCTGTTGGTTAACTAATCAATCAGCAGGGCATGTATTTAGTCGTCCAAAAATTTACTTCGATACTATTCACATGGCTAATAGCAAAGCTGAACACCGGTTATGTGGAGAGATGCCATACACAGTTCTGTTGACACAATGTCTACAGTGAAAGGCTGCAAATATTCCATCTGGAGTAGGACTGAATAATTTGTGAAAAATATCTGATTGTGGGTTTTTTTGAGTATTACAATGGTGATTAGGTTTGTGATTTAAGTTTTGATCTTGATTCTGTTCAAAGTTCAGATTTTAAACATGTCCAGAAGAATTGGTAGAAAGACTGAAATATGAAATGAGTATTAATACAAGAATAGGATTTCAAAACATGTTTGTACAGATCTAACCTACAGGGTCATTAGCCATTTTTACAAGGGTTCAATTCACAGGGTTCCTCACGGGATAAGAACCAAATACATATTAGTCACAATATTCCTTTGTTACAACAGTCCTTGTGCAAATTTAATATCAAATACATCTATTTTAATCATCAAAACAGTAAATACGTCAAGTGTATTTATTGCATAACCAAGTTGCTTTCCACTAAATAAGCAATAAAATTGTAGTGCGGTTACAAAATAAAATGCTCAAAGATACCAAATAATACTCTTGGCAATATATCAATACCGCAGCCCATGATAACAAAACATATCACCAAGTTTATCGATATTTCAATATTTTACCCCTAATTTTTACGCAAAATAAAACAATTTTATTGTTTGTGGAGGAATTTAAAACACATCAAAACCTGCAGCCTTCGCGATTTGCTAATTGCATCCATTCAAATTGCAATCTTGAATTTGATGACGAATAATCTTGCAGCTCTAATATGCAGCCCAAAACAGCAGTATTTTCTATAAATGGACATACCTTGAGGTCGCGGTACACAACATCTCGTGAGTGGAGGTATTCCAGCGCTGATACAATCTCTGCCCCATAGAAGCGAGCCCGATCCTCTGTGAAGACCCGCTCACGTGACAAGTGGAAGAACAGCTGAACGAGGGAGTTAGCAGTTAGTTAGTTCTTAGCTCTTTGCCACAATCTGTAAAAGTGCAAACAGAGATGTCTCACCTCGCCTCCGTTGGTATACTCCATAACAAAACACAACCGATCGTGTGTTTGGAAGGCATATTTCAGTGTCTGTGGAAGAAAGAGAACCACTTATCAATGTTGCATGCTATATAGTTAATGTTAAGCAAGCACTGTGATTATAGGTGCCCTGCGCAACTTTTTTGGTTTAACTTTGACTCATGTATAAGTATTTCTGCCTATTTCCCTTATGACAGAAGTTATGTTATGTAATGTACTGACTGTTAATGAACGGTCATTGTGTTTATTTATTCCTTTTATTATGAGAACGGACCCCGGAGTCATCTGTGCACTTGCAGAGACCGGGGATCCTTAAAGGTGCACTGCGCAACTTTTCTGGTGGAGGGCCAGCTACCTGCTTGTCTCCATGGAGATGTTGCTTTGACTGGAATGTTTCATAGCATGACTTTAAACATATCCATCTAGCATTTATTTATTACGAGTGTTTCTATTGCTCAAAAATACATTAGTTTTTAGTTATTTTTTAGGTTTAATCTATTCAGTGGAACATTCTAGACAAAGCAATACCATGTTTGTCTCGATGGAAATGTTATGTGGTGGCTTAACATCCACCAGAAATGCTACAACTAACTCTAACTAATGTATATGTCTTTTCTGCCTATTTCTCTTAAGATTGCACTTATGTGTTGACTGTTAATGTATGGTCCATGTGTTCTGTTTCTCAAAAATGGACCCCAGTAAGAGTAGTCTGTGCACTTGCTGAAACTAATTGGAATCCTTAAATAAACACAAATGTTATGCATTGCACCTTTAAATAAACTTTAAGAACGGACAAGTTACACAACAAGTCAAGTGCATAGATATGTAGATATACAGATAGCACAAGCTGCATGGCTCTGCAGACTGTACAGACAAATCTGTGGTGCATAGTGGCTTGAGAACAAAATCTTATCTGCTCTCATCTTAAATAAACAGTATCAATATCTTTGCACACTAGGCCTGTCACAGTAATTACTATATTGATTTATCATTCAATATAAAAGCTGGAACAATATATTTTGGGTCTTTTTTTGCCTTTTTTATATAATAACAAAGTGAGCTGCAGAGAGTTGACTAAATACCTGCAATGGCTAATTATCGGTTCTTTCTGCTATGTATTTGTTGTATCTCAGGCTTTTTAATGATACTGTCTATTTAAAAATGGGTTTACTAGGATTATCCTGCTTTCCTCAGTGGCATAAAGCTGTTTCAATATTATGATTATATCTCTGTAGCAATAGATTGTGCTTCAAAATTTGTTAACAAGACAGATTATTGTTAACTGACATAACTCTTCAATTAGAGGCAACAACTACAGAGCTGGACATGACCGATGATGGCCCAACAGATAGAAGGCAACATCAGTAGACATTTTTTTTGAGGCCACCCCAGATCAAAGAAACCTTCATCCACTGGGGACATGAACCTTCCTGGATTGGAGTGTGTCATCGGCTGTATCTCGCTCATTGGTGGAGTCTGTGCACACTAGGGCTGGGAATCACAGGGACCCTCACGTTTCCATACGATATACAATAAATAACTCACGGTACAATGTTATCACAATACGGCGATACACATGATAATCCATATATTGCGCCTGATACATTTATATATGTTTTTTATGTCATTTTTTGTTTAACATTTTAACAACAATATTTCTTTGTAAAACCACTACTTCTGTAGTCTATGGCCGTGATGGCGGATATTGGCAGTATTACTTTCTGTCTTCCTTTGTGATGTTATGAATAGTACATACTCTGGACATGCTTGTTTGGAGCGATTGCTCTAAATCTTCAATTAATACTCAGTTAATATAATAATGCAGCTGAAACTCTCAATATTCCCTGGGGAGGTGAAACTAACTAGAGGCTCTGCTCTGTTTTGAGGCTCAGTTAGAGTTTAATCTGATTTTGATGTAACACAATCTGACCAGAAAGAATTGGCTTATTTTAACAGGTGAGCTGATTTGTGCTGTTAAACAAGTCACAAGCTAAGTAGCACCTAAACAAGACCATGAAAGCTCTTATTGATGAGATATCACACCATCTTAAAGCTTTTTGACAGTGTTTGCCAAGATGTGCACTCTGTCTCCATGGTATCTCCTAAATATTCCACAATTAGAGATACATGTAGGACACCCCCAGCGTGACGACACTGCAAAGTATCAGTACTCGACAGGTTGATTTGGTCTGAAATGGCCATAAAACTGCGCTGTCAGTGTTGTAGAGATGAGTGGAAATGCTTCAGTACTTACAGTGAGAAAAGGGTGACGCGTGTTTTGTAAAACTCTGCTCTCTGTAACTGTGTGGGCAACTTCATCCTGCAATAAAATACGGCAACGATGGGTTATTTCACATTTCTTATTATAGGTAATATACAGAATAAAGACATCACCATACAGACTTACCTTAGCTATAATTACTTCTTTGCGCAATATTTTCATGGCATAGTGTACTCCAGTAGACTTTTCCTTGACAAGAATCACTTTTCCAAATGTCCCCTTACCAAGCAACTTTAGATACTCAAAGTCACTCATGTTCTATATAAGGGAAATTCATATACTTAGTCAAACTGGGAGAAATTTAAATTATATACCAATAAAGATGTAATAAAACAAGTTGTATTAGTTGTACCACTTTATTGCGACTCTTGGACATAGCCACTTCCATCTCCTCCAAACTGCACTCGCTGGGTGAACCAAAGACATCCATTGGCTCCTCCTCTTCCTCCTCGCGCATCTTTAAACTGTTGGCCACCGACTGAATGGCCCGCATCCATTCCTCTCTGATAATTAAAGATATTCAGGATTGATCAGGAGGAGTAAAAAAAAGTACTAAATGGATTCTTCTGAACTTGAAGCCATGCTATAATCCTGTTACCTCCTCAAAAACAGACTTTGAGTTGTGTTTTGTTTCATTCACACATGTTTGAGTAATCATGGTTTTATTAGTCTGCCTACATCTCTCTACATCTGGTCTACATTGTGAAGTCATAGAGTGGTAGTTTTCAACTTAACAGCTACCTTTTACCATTAGTTCAGTAGAGACTGGTATTTCCAGGGCTGATGTCACCCATATGATTCTAGTGAGGGGGTGTGTATCACAAGGTGGAACAGAGCATTTTCCGTTTGAGAAAAGAACCCAGCAAAAATATGCAGGGTTTGCCTGTTGAACATGTGTGAATGAAATAAAACAAAACTCCAAAGTATGTTTGCGATGAGGAAACATTATTACTAGGGCTGGGTATCATTAAGAAGTTGCCGATACAATACAGACCTTGATACGTAGGCCATGATACAATACATACCTTGATACAGTGAGCTTTTGATTCAATACAATATATTTCAAATCGATTCGATACCATTTAATAAAAAATAATGGCTAAATCGTGGCTGTGATACTAAAAGTGTTTATTAAGCCACTTCTTGTGCAAAGTTAATATGAAACACACCCATTTTAATCATCAAAACAGTGAAAATGTCAAATGTGTTGCATAAATGAGTTTCCTTCCTCTAAACAAACAATAAAACCGTAGCTCTGTAACAAAATAATTTAGTGAAATATACCAAAAAATACTCTTGGTGATATTGATACAGAAGCTCACAATATCAATATCGTATCACGATAAACAATACGATATATCAATATTTCTATATTTTTGCACACTCCTAATAAGGTATGGGATGATTCAGATGGGAAGTCACGATTCGATTCAACTTTCGATTTTGGACTCCCAATTTTCAATTCTCCTCGAGTTTGATAAACAGGTTATTTGCTAAGTCAAACTGAGTAGATTTTGTTTAAAAGGTTTTGGAGTATTTAAAAGTTCATATTTATGTCATTTCTGAGTCTATCAACGTAAAATAAAAAGTGACTGAAAGATAAAACTCACCACTGTTAGAATATAGCAGCACTAAGCCTCTATAGAGCTGTTTACTTTCTGTATCTAACAAAGAACCCCAGGCTTGTCCTTTTCTTGCCTGTACCAATATAACAACATGGAGTGCATGGAGGGACATGTGAGACTTGAGCTTAATACAAAATAGAATCGAAACAACAGAATGATTCGACCTTTTTATGAAAATCGTTCCATCTCAACCCCGAATTACTACATATATTAGAAAATAGTGTAATTTAATCCTAAAAACCACCAACCTCTCCTCATTAGTGTCCACGTGAAAAGTACGTTCAATGAAAGTGGTCCACTGAAGGCAACGGATGACAAAAGTATTTGGCTTAGGTCTTTCAGTCTTCATTAACTGGCATTCTGCAAGAAAAAAAAATACAAAGAGTTTGCAACACTTATGAACAATATAATGCTTAATGGTCCTATATTATGCAGAATTGACTCTCGTGAGCTATAAGCCATGTTATAATGCTGTTACCTCATCAAAAACATACTTGGAGTTGTGTTTTGTTTCATTCACACGTTTGTTATTAGTCTGACTACATCACTAAAGCTCAAAATCTGTTCTACTTTGTGATGTCATGTAGTGGTAGTTTTCAAGTTAACACCCTTTACCTTAGTTGAGTAGAGATAAGCAATCCCAGGGAAGAAATTATTCAAATGATTCTAGTTAAACAGTGGCGCATTTCCTGTATTACCACAGGACATTACAAGATGGAACAGTGTTTTCCATTTGAGAGAAGAACTTGTGTGTTAAAAACGTGTGAACAAAACACAACAGGACGAGGAAACAACATTATAAAATAAATTAGATATAGTATATACGCCTGTTAAAACTTACATAATATAGATGATACTCACGTGCTACTGAGAAGTTGTTGAGAGGAGGAGAACTCTGGTCATTGAGGTCAGGTTTTTCTTTGTAGCCGATAAAGGAACCGTCACTTTTTAAAATGAAATATCTGGGCCTCCATGTTTTGATATATTCACCTGGAATTAAAGGGGTCATTAAAGTGAGTCATACGTTTGCTGTATTATCTTGCATTGAAACTTTGAGAAGAATTTGAGAAAATTCCAGTTTTGACCTATCCCCACCCACTTCCCTGTATTTACTGGTATTTGTGATTATTTAAAAAGATTCAGACTGCAGGTTGTGGGGTTAAAAATGTCTCATAACCATTTTTCAACAGTAAAAATGTGTTAAAACTGCTGCGTGCTACTGTGAAATGCAACTATTAAAAGGCAGGGCATATGAGTTCTGCAGTTTTAACAGGAAGTCAATGTCCCAGTTTTCAATGAACAAAGTGTACAATAATGATCTAAACATGTTATAGTTTAATACACGGGATGCACCAATGACAATACTGATGCTGCTATCGAATATTGGTGCCAGTATAGAAAAATATGCTGGATCAGGTATCGGTTCATAATAAAAGTTAAGACAATATTGTGGTAGGGCTTTTTAATTGGATAATAAGACTATTTACAGTCTGATTCTGTCCTAGATCTTGTATTCATACAAAGAGGTGCTGTAGTTGTTTGATTTAAAAAACAGTTACATAACACAACTGGATCTCTTGTGTAATAAATTAACTGTGTTCTCTGAAAATAAATGCCATTTTCCGTCCCTAAACTGGAATCGGTCAAAGTATCGATAATGGTATTGGTGCATCCCTAGTAAAGTATAACATATATAGTTCATTATCCATGTTATATTTTAACATATTAATTAATGGATCAGTGCCTATATTAATTTTACTGTTGCAAAAAAAAAAAAAAAAACACATTTGTATTTGTTGGACTCTTACCTCTCTTCTGGAGCCAGCCCTCTCTCACTATACTGACTTCATTCATGGTTAGAGATGTCTTTCAGAGGAGAGGGTGAGGACGGGAGGATGGGGAGGGGAATGGTGAACTTTTTATTTGGTCTGCTCAATTCCCAGTCACTGTCATCAAATATCACCTGCTGAACAAGATAGTACATCATTATATAACTTTCAACTTCTTAGTTCTCCCACAAACCAAAGAAGCAGACTGGGAATCATCCACAAGAAGAAAAACTAGCAGATCATACTTCAGTATTGTTTTAGCTGTTCCCACACATGGTAAAAGTTGCTATTAGATCAACATAAACATACAATAGCTTTTATTTAGTTTTAACTGTCAATTAGAGAATTATTAAACACTATAACTTAAATTGTGTTTTAAATTCAATAAAATGATGCCCTATTGAGTTGGGGCCATTATTAAATCATAAAGGCTGCAATTATAAAGAGAATAGAATGTGCTCTGCAAAGAAGAAAATTTCCTGTCTTATTTTTTTGAAGAATCTTGTTGTACCTGTCGTTTAAACTTTAGACCTCTACAAACATGTTCTGAAACGCATGGCATTCTTGTATTAGTTTATCAGTTCGAATTTCAGTCATCTCTCAAATGTTAAGGCTCCTGGCGTTGTTTACAAAGTGCACTCTGAACAGAATCTTTTTTTAACATCTAATCGCAAATCTAATCGCAATACTTACCAGATAAATCACAAAGAAACGGTCATTATTTCCCAAACCGTGCAGCCATACATACAATGCAATCAAATACAATAATACAACATAATTATTTAGTTTTACTTGTCACTTCTGAGAGACAAAATACAATAAAAAGACAATTAAAAAGTACTGCACGTGTGTTTACTTCTGATCAACACCTGATTAATCTTATTAAGCGGTTCAATTGTATTAGTTAGGCATAAAGACACTATATATTTATGCATTTTAAAATCAGAAAGGAAAAACCTGTGCCTGGTAAAATGGTAGTTGTTTGTTTGCTCGGGTCCAGCTGCATTTATCAGCGTGAGTTAGCACGCAGCCGCTGACAGTAGCTAACATCGAGCTAACAGAACTGGGTTAACTTTTAACAGATGGTTTATAAGAGTTAAACAACCTCACGCATCGACAATAAAACACCGCAATAGTTACAACCGCAGCCCATATAAAGTGGAATACGGTAGGACACGTGTGCACTGAATCACGCAGTATGATAATTTAGAAAACAAAGCTTGTTTTTACATTTGCACTCACAGCTCGCTTGGTAAACCTGGGTTACTTGTAGTTACTCATTAGTGAGATATTTTGGACTGAATGTCGCATATTACTGCTTATTTTCACACTTTACAATGATAAATACCAGGCGGTCACTTCTAACTCAGTTGATAGATTACTGTACTAGAACATCAGAGTCATAAACTTTCTCTTATCATCGTAAAAGTGGGTTTATTATTAGTAAACAGCCTTACTTTAGCGATCTTATTCCTTGAACTGATGCAGCCCTGCTACTATTAGCGACTCAAGGCTATTTCAGTGGCATGTAGCACACTTTAACTTCAATCAACTTGCAGGAATTTGCGTAAACAGAGTGATAAATAAGTAAAAACAGGTATACGGGTTGAACGTACATGTAAGTAGCTGTTTGGTCCGCGTTGGTGCGTTTTGGAGCAGTTTTGACAGGTTAGATCCAGAGCAGGCCACAATCATCCACCAGGAAAAAAAACACCATGGACTCACTTCTTCTGAGGCGCACGGAGAAGGTCGCAGCGCAGTGTCAGCACAGCGCCATCCAGTGGCCACAGAGCGCATTGCATCACAATAGGGTTTTAGTTACAGTTCACCTTCACGTGAGCAGGTCCTCACTTTTTCTCCGTGAAGACTGAAGGCCTAGGTGTGAAATGATGGTCCGCCACTGGGTTTATGTACATGAAGGGATTTATTATTGCTATTATTATTATTAGACAGTGTTATGAATTATGTACATGACTTTCTCTATGTTCTGCAGTTCAAGTGACAAGTGTAAATGAAGAATGTGATGGTGAAACAGACACTTCTTTGTGTATGGTTTATCATCTATTTCAAGTATTGCAAGTGTATTTGTGATTTTTGAAACCAAGGTTCAGTTCACAGTGCACATTTTAAACATGTCCAAGAACATTTATGTTTGAGAAAAGACTGAAATCTCATCTCATAAACTAAAACAAGAATTCCATGTATTCCATGTATGTAACATGTTTGTAGACGTCTAAACTAAAGGGAGAGCAGCTTTTACTCAGAATAAGACCCCATGGAGACACAGGGACATTGTTCATAGAGAAATAAGCCCTAGAACATTAATCCTTCATATTCATGTCATGTTTGAGAGAATTTTAGATCTAAAAAATACAATATTGTGATTGAAGTAATAAAATCATTTGTTGAAATTTTTGCTGAAATGTCAGTGTCTTGCTGAGACCACTGCTAAAAAGCATGCATGCAGGTGTTGTGCCCTCTACAGAAATGTGCTGCTTTAAGAGAGAAAAAGACATACAAGAAAAAGACATACAAGAAAGATAATAACAATATTTTGAGGGTGGGCGAATTTTTATTTATTTTTTGAATGCATTTGAATAAATGCGATGTGTCCTCTGTGAGTCGGTGTGATCCTCTTTTGGTCTATGGGAGAAAAAGAGTCGCAGGTTTCATCTGAATAGTTTTTGAAATGGAAACGCTTCAATTTCCATTCAGCGTTTTGACTCTTAAAATGAGCTCTGGATGGAAGCAAATCATCTCAACTTAAAAAGTGTCCAGTGACGTTTGACCCCTCTCTACCAAACGAGTGACTCTTAAAGGACACAGAGGGTGCTGTCTAACAGGGCCTCTTTTTTGGCTTGTCCCACTGTGGAAAGAGCCGAGCCAGAAAAGTTCTGGGCCGGTTACTAAAGGCGCTGAGACAAAAGTTCAGATGTTTCTTGGCATTGTTCTGGAAGTCTGTGGGATCTGGTCCCAAAGCCATCACCAGGAGCTTGGAGGCAGAGCCGTGTTCGTGGATCAGGTCTCGGGCTGCAGCTTTGCCCAGTTTCTTTATGTTTTTGGGGTTGATATGAACTTCAGCTGGGACTTTGAACTGGTCTTGGACTCTGGTCTTTTCCAGAATCTGCACTAATTCATCGTCGTGGGACCTCATTTTGCAGCTTTTGCAGCAGTTTTTTGACGAGAGCATGGATCACCAGGCTCTCCACTGAGCCCAGGGTCTGTGAGGTCTGAGGAGCTGCAGGGGGCTCTGGAGCTGAGGCTGGGATTTCTATCTGCAGATTCTCATACTCTTCTTCTATTGTTATGTCCTCTGCAGTGTGGAGCAGCACCTCCTCTGGGTTTGGCTCCTCTGCAGTTCGGAGGTAATTCTGGACCTCCATTAGTGTCTTTGTGTCCTCGGGGGTTTGGTCCTCTTGTATTTGTGGCTCAGTTGGACTGAGGTCTTCCTCTGAGCTGATGTCCAGCTGCTCCGGAGTCTGGTCATTTTCAGGAGATTCGTTGTCTGTTGAGCTGTTGTCAAACATCCAGAGGAGCTCTTCCTTCTCAGGACTTTGTTGTTTCAGTCCAGTTCTTCCTGAGGGACTCTTTACATCCTCTAGTGTCTCGTCGAGGGTCTCAGCGAAAAATCATTGCTTTTAAATACACTCATATGCTTAATTTCTTTCTTTTAACTGTGCTCCAAACCAATGTTTTTTTTTAGTCTTGAAGTGTTTTCCTGACAGAGGATTGGCTGTAGACCTCTCCTTTAGGTCTAAACCAGGTCTAATCTTGGAGAGAGAGAGAGAGAGAGAGAGAGAGAGACGGAGGTGCCCCCTGTCTAGGTGGGCGCACCTCCAGGCCCGTCCTGACATCCTGCTTTAGTCCTGGTTTAGTCCTGGTTCAGTCCTGGTCCCTCATGTCTCAGGTCACTATAGAACAGTACTTGACAACATGTGCCCCCTGCCTCCCTCCCAACCACGTGAATCCTCACAAAAGTATGGTCTTTGCATGGAACCTACGGGTATACCCCACTTCTCACTTCTTCTCTGTACATGGAATCCCTGTGCACCCCCCGGCTCCTCGCTCCTCACTGGTACTGCTGAGTACTACTGAAGGCCTAGGCGTGAAACGCCCTGCCATTGCATAGGACATAATAAAAAATAAAAATAGTAATAATAATAATAAATGCATATTAATTTAATTTAACAAACATATTTATTTTTATTTAATTAACAAACAACACATTTATTCAATAACTAATGCGCCATGAGTTCCGGAGCAGGACTTCAGATCCAGGACCAACATCCAAACAGTGCCCAAACATACAGGCAAGAAACAACAGTCTTGTACCTGTGTGTGTGTAATTCTAATGATATAAGAATGTTTGTGTGTTTTTATTTATTCTTTTATCACTTTTAGAAAATAAAAATTACTTCATTAAAATATAAATTAAAAAAGACTGAACCTTCAACTCATGCAAATGATATAAATTATGAGATGTTGACATGTTGTTTGGGAAGAATGAAAATCATCATAAATCCATGTTTAAAAAACTGCCTGAAATCCATGTAAAACAACAACTTGTGACTGAAAATTGTCAAACAAAATTGGCATCTTCACTGTTGTTTTGTGCAATCTGAAGCTGCTGAGTCAAAGCTAAAAGACAAATATGAAATGATCAGAAGATTAGAATTATCAGGTCATAATGTGGTACTGCAAATACACATGGTAAGAAATATACCTGCTATTATCTCCTCCTTCACTTTATGGAGTTCCTTCTTCACTTCTTCGAGAATCTCCTGCTCTCACAAAAAGTGGAGATGATGATACAATGTTGAGGTATGAATGAAGATAGCCAACTGAATTATTACTTTTATATATTTCTGTCTCTCTATAAATGCATTGAACAAACCTGTTTTAATCTATCTACATCAAAGCCAGTGCTTCCAGTGTCTTCAGAGTTCCTCTTTGTCATCTTCAACCTTGAACAGCAAAGAATGAAAAAAAAAGTAAATCTTTATAAGCCAACATGATGTGAGCAGGGAGCATGTGTGTTCATTGATGGGTTTCAGCTTCCTGTTCAAAGGTGACATTTTGAGCACTTCACCATTTGAGTTAGAATATTCGGTTTTGCATTGGTGTTACTTTTATCATGCTGAAATTCATGGAAAGTACCATAAGGGGTGAGGGTCTTCCACCTGGTGATCTCCACGGTTATTGATTTGCCTGTAATGTTCCTCAGTATGGCATTTTGTTGTTCATAATGCATTGAACTCTACAAACATTGTTACTGTGAGCGGCGTCACCTTTCACTGATACGACCTGTAACTTGACCTACCTGTGTCACCTTCTTGTGGCAGACCCTCCACTAGAAAGGTTACATAGACCTTTAATTCTTTTACAATCTTCATATTTGTCTTGAGCTTAGAAAAAACATTACATTTTTCTGTGCAATACTTGCCCAACTCAATAAAAGTATATGACAAAAGCTCCATGTTTAAAATCTACCATTGATTACACAGTACACTGTATTACCGAATTACAAATTTTGTAATAAATATTTCTACAGCTGAACAGTTAGTAAGCCAACCGTATAAACCTGAAGTACATGAGATAACACTACTTCTCTCTTTGCATGATAAAGCCACCTAAATGTCAAAGTGAACAGTCATACTGAAAACAGAAGTGAATGATGTGCTCATTTGATCAAACCAGCTTTCGGTGACAGGAAGCAGAAGCCTGTGTGAAGTACTGTGCAGTTTTACCTGGACGGAGGAGCAGCGGAGGGTGAGGGGGTGGTAGGACTCGAGTCTCGGTTGGATGAGGGTTTGGGCCTGGAAATATTCAAAGTGTGGTCAAAAACTCATCAAAATAGTATCACAGTTTGATATTTTTTATGACCATATCAATTTGCCCTCAGTATAAGGTTCCAGTTTTGTCTCACCTTGGCATAGTGGCAGCTTTCTCCCTGGGTTTCTCAGCGGCTTCTGAAAGATATTTGAAGAACAATTATTATGTTTTTTTTTTTGTCTTTTAATTGTTTATTGGCCTTTAAGCATGATCGTGAATACCTTTGCTTGGAATTTCATGATTTAAAACTGAAAAAATACTAGTATCCGATAATTATTACTTATTATTTATTTAACACCAGTATCTTGCTATTTTTATTTTTTATTACCTGTTATATTTTTTTGTTCTTTGTTATTCTAATATATTGTGATGTGTGTGCTACTATTTCCAAACAATTTCCCTTGTGGTTCAATAAAGTTTGTCTCTGTCAAAGATGGGCAATTATTTTTATCATGGGGCCACATGAGAAACAGAAAATATTGTGGAGGGCCAGGACAAAATGTTTACTCAATTCTGCATAGTATCAATTGCATTCTTTATGAAAAGCAGTAAATGGCATTGTTTAGACAAGCTGGTAAGATTGGTAAGACTTTATGTTATGACTAAGCAATGAAAAAATGAGGTTGCCTTAAAAAAAATTATTTAAAAAACATCTCTAAAATAAAAGCAATGCAGCTTTAGTCCATTCATGAGATAAAATCATAAAATATGTTTATAACGGGACGATCAGAGTCAACCAAAGGGCCGTATGTGACCTGGAAGCTGTACAATGCCCT